TACTTAGACTATCTTAGAAATACTTAGACTCTTCCACATCTGACAAGCATCTTAGAAGTACTTAGACTCTTCCAAATCTGACAAGCATCTTAGAAGTACTTAGACCCTTCCAAATCTGACAAGCATCTTAGAAATACTTACTCTTCCAAGTTTGACAAGCATTTTAGAAATACATACTCTTCTATATCTGACAAGCATCTTAGAAATACTTACTCTTCCACATCTGACAATCATTTTAGAAATACTTAGACTCTTCCAAGTCTGACAAGCTTCTTAATTCTGCTTTATATAATAGATTTTTAGAAATTCTATGAGTGATCCATATTTGACATGTTTCGTACAAATGCTTTGACTGTTTTCTACATATGACAAGTTTTATGCAATTTTTTTGTGTCTTCCTCTTCTGAAATGTTTCTTGGAAATGCCTTGACTTTTTACTGTCTTAAAAGTTTCTTAGAAATGCCATGACTCATCCACATATGTTAAGTATCTCAAAAATGTTTTTACTCTTCCCCATCTGACATGTTTCTTACAAATGCTTTCACTCTTCCGCATATGAAAAGTGTCTTAGAAATGTTTTGGCTCTTCTTTAATTAATTGACAGATTTCTTGGAAATGCTATGACTTATCCTCCCTCATCTGACAGGTTTCCGAGAAATGTTTTGACTCCTCTCTGAAGTTAAAAGGTCTATATATTGATTGTTTCACATAGTTAGAAAGACTAAAAGTATTAAAATTGTTAAAGTAGAATGAACTAAATTTGTTTCGTGAAATGCTCTTTGAACTTCACCAAATATTTCTTTTTACATAACAGGTAGTACAATGTATTTTCTGTGTTCTTGAACTATTATGAATTGCATACAATTCCTGAATTTTTGTTTCATTTACTTACAAATCCTTGTTGTTTAATAGTTACTTCTATCCAATTATAGTTGTTCAGTTGAAATTTGTGGTTTAGTACAGTTTCACATTTTACAGTTGTTGGCATCTCTGATAGAGCGAGTAACATGATCTGACAGTGATGAGATAGAAATTCATTTCTGACACAATACCTCACTTCTGCACACAGAATAGCTTGACTCCTTGCTTGTGGTCCAGCATGGCCAGGTGGTTAGGGTGCTCTAATCACAATCTGAGGGTCACAGGTTCGAATCCCCATCCCACCAAACATGCTCGCCTTTTCAGCCGTGGGGGCGTTATAATGTGATGGTCAATCCCACTATTTGTTGGTAAAAAAGTAGCCCAAGAGTTAGTGGTGGGTGGTGATGATTATCTGTTTTCCCTCAAGCCTTTCAGTGCTAAATTAGGGATGGCTAGTGCAGATAGCCCTCGTATAGCTTTGCGCAAAATTCCAAACAAAACAGCCATCTGTCTATGAGATGTACATGCCATTTTCCTTGAGCGAACTCTCACCTAAAAATCACATGTTTAGTGTGAACTACACTAGCTGTCCACCAATAATAATTGGACACAACCTCCTTGTAAAGTAACTCCTCTTAAGCAAATGCAAATCTGATAACTATGGAAGGAATCAATCTGTTTAGTGTACGGAGGTGAGTATCTATTAGGAATACGTTTTCGGGTAAAGAAAATGTTACCTTCCAGCAAAAGCAGTTGTTAAGTGGCTTTACCATTGAAACAGTTGAATCACATATTGATTATCAAATATTATTTTAACACCTGAAAACATTACACTAGTACATAACTAGAATAAAAGCATGTATTTATGTTTAGTAGACAATGAAAGCAAATTATAATAATTTCAACTTTGAAGTAAGGTGTAACACATTGTTTGTAATATTAAAACATTGATATTTTATGGGATTTTTTCTTTTTTTTTTAACTCTAAAATATTCTAACGAATAATGGCTTGGCATGGTTCAGTGGTTATTGTGGCAAACTATAGTTCAGAACATTCAAGATTTGAAAGCTGGTATCTTGCAGAACATACTCCATTTTTTCAACTATGGGACACTCTTAACTGTGAAAGCCAGCTAACTGGTTGTCTTTCTCTTGGTCAGCAGGTCAAGATTAGAGATGACTATGTCTAAATCTTGGGGTCTTCTTCACCTGGCCATTCAGCCCATTTGTTACATAAGGTCTGTTTAGATTGAAAAGACCAAATACTATGTCTAAGTAATATTTAGCTAAATGTTAAATTATTTTCAATTTTATTTCTAGGTCAACTCTAGTTGCCCAAAGATCCAATGATAATTCTAGATCAGGGTTCCATAAGTGGCCTTTCATGACAGTTCACAGCTGGGGAGAAAGCCCCTCAGGAGTCTGGAAGCTGGAGGTGCACAACGAAGGTCGCTACTATGGTGAGATTTGATCTTGTGGCTTCAATTAACTTTCTTTGACACAAGTGTAATGCATTTTTTATCTTTCTTAAATTTTATACACTGTAATGAATTATTTAAGACAGAATATTTTGGTGATGTAGCTGTCAAAACACTGTTGTAGGAAATATTTTTCTTATACTCATAAATTATGGAATTTTTAAAAGCAAGTTTTTAACATAAAATCAAACAAGTCTTTTCTGAAGTTAATGGATCAGTTTAAGGTGTAAAACATCTAGTAACATTAACTAAGAAAAGAGAAATATTATGTCTATAAAGCCTTAATATATATATGTGTAAGCTAAGAAAACGATGTAATATGTTTATGTTTTTCCACAAGATTATTTATTGTTTTTAGGTTAAGTGTCATTCCCTTGTGTTTTGTTTAATTTACATTATAGAAATATAAAACCTACAAATTGATTAAAATACCAACAACTCAAACTAAGTAAGTAATGTTGGTAGATTTTTGGTGGAACACTGATTTTAAAAAGGCCAAACATTAGAAATGTCACTTCTGTTGGTAACTTTTGCACCAGTTGAAAACTCAAGCTTTTGAATATATGATAAACACATTCTAGAGAAAAACTTTTATAGGATTTAATTATGCAGTATAAATTAAAGAGTAATTAACACATTATTTCTAACACTTCTGCCATCTAGTGACAGATAAGTAACTCTTGTATTGCAGCTAGGTGCTATATGAACATTCTTTTGAAAATTAATATTATTATGTAATTATGAAAATACAAAGTAATTGTGGTTGTGTGACAAACCTTATAGAATGTTTACCACTCATTATAATTATATAGAAAATAATAACACATATTTGTTACAGGAGGAATTGAAATTAGATGGTTTTAGCTAAACTGTTAAATGCTTTATGTGTATTGTGTAAAGTGTTAGGTTTTATTGAATATGTGGATATTATTTTTTAAAATGTAAGTTAGCTATGTCCTTGGTTTTTACTTTGTTTTGTCTTAGTATTTGTATAAACAAATATACTGGTGGTGTACATATAACTGATAAACACATATATTAGTGGTGTACATATAACTGTCAGTGGAAGGATATATTGTACACTGTGAAGTTTGAAACAACTACTTGTGGAGTAATAGATTTATTTTTACAATGTTTCTTAACAGTGAGACATGACCATGTATGTGTATCACCCTACAGATATCTTTTACAACTTTGTTTATTCATAACATAAGTTGTTACCTCTTAAAACAACAATATATTGTACATATTTCTGTAAAACAGTGTCTATAGGAGTGTATGTTGTGTATACATTGTACATGTTTCAGTAAAACTGTATTTATGGAAGTATTGATTGTGTGTACAATGTATATGTTTCTGTAAAACAGTGTGTTGGAGTGTATATTGTGTTTATATTGTGCATGTTTCTGTAAAACAGTGTCTATAGGAGTGTATGGAAGTATTCATTGTGTGTACATTGTACATGTTTCTGTATAACAGTGTCTGTAGGAGTATAGATTGTACATCTTTCTATAAAAGTGTCTGGTCTGTAGGAGTATATGTTGTGTATACATTGTACATGTGTCTGGAAAAGTGTCTGTAAGAGTATATATTGTACATACATTGTACATGTTTCTGTAAAAGTATCTGTAGAAGTATATATTATACATACATTATGCATGTTTAGGTAAAACATTGTCTGTGGAAGTATATGTTGTGTATAAATCTAAATTAAATTTTTTGACAGTTTTCAGTTTGATATTTTGCAGAGTTTAATAAAGAAACTTCAGAAGATAAATAAGGGTGCTTCAAAACTTTCAATTTCTCTTCACTTGACTTGGGAAAAGACATTAAGGCCTTACTAGAAGGATTGTGAATTTTGGACTAAGTGCCAATGTTTAAAAAACTTGGTATGATCAAGACAATTGTGTGGCAGAAATTTAGGTTGTTTAATTTGTTGATGAGTGGTTTGGTAGCACGGTGGCTAAGAGTGGACATTCACTTGAAAAAAGGTGTCTCTAGGCATCTGGAAAAGCTCTGTGTGCATAGAGCTTGCTGGTGGTATGATCCTCTTTCCTATCCCCACATGGATGTCAGTACCCGGCGGCTAGGGTTTTGGATTGCAGTTGACTTACTGACGGTATGATCATCCTACGCCCACATGGATGTCGGTACCCGGCGGCTAGGGTTTTGGATTGCAGTTGATTTACTGACAGTATGATCATCCTACCCCCACATGGATGTCGGTACCTGGCGGCCAGGGTTTTGGATTGCAGTTGACTTACCGACAGTATGATCATCCCACCCCCCACATGTATGTCGGTACCTGGCGGCCAGGATTTTGGATTGCAGTTGACTTACCAATGGTATGATCATCCTACCCTCCCACCATGGATGTCGGTACCTGGCAGCCAGGGTTTTGGATTGCAGTTGACTTACCGACAATATGATTATCCTACCCCCGCATGATTGTTGGTTCCCAGCAGCATGAATTTTGGATGTAGTTGACTTGCAATATACAGTTTGTCATGCCCTTGCCACTTTACACCTAGGGGCACATCCTTTTCATTTTCCCCACTTTTATAATTTCTGTGATTGTGTTTCATAAATATTGCATATTTCGGATCATCTTCAGGCCATAGTTCTCTCCCAATTGGATGTGCTCCTATGTTTTCCGACCATATATGCAATATCTTTCTACAATGGGCAAAGAGTATACCTGGTTCAGAAGAGGTACGGTTCCCCACATCCGATCTTAGAATCTGACTGTCTCATTCTTAGGATGCTTTCAAAGGATGATTCTTTTTTTCCCTCGCACCCATCTTTCCACTTATTCAGTGTGTGATTCTAGTTTTTTATATCTGAGGAAGTAATGTACTGTATCAGAAGTTATAATTTTCCTCCACTGAAAATGTATTTCCAATAGCTCCTTACCTCCTTCCCACCCTTCCTCCCCACTGAAAACTGGTACTTCCACGTTCTGCAAAAACTCAAAGTGATAGTTCGGTAGAATTGCATAGAGGGAGTTGCATGCGTCGTGAGAGTATGTCACAGTCTTATTGGTGTAGGGTTGATGCATGATGATTTGCATGAGAGGCACATTGGAATCATTCAACTCCAATGAATGGGAGATAGAAGGCTTGCGGCATGCATAAAATATTTGTTTGCATATAGAGGGCATCACTGAATGAGAATAGCTATTTATGTGAGTGGAGTTAAGTACTTATCGGAAGTACATTTTCAGTGTAGGAAAATGACAACTTTCTTGGAATTACTTTAATGGTTGCAATCTACTTGGTAACATCCTGACTTTACTGTTCCTTCTGTTGTTGTTTTTGGGCTCTCCCACCAAAAGGCCATATCCCCAGACATCAATATGTGCCCCAAGGGGGGTGTACCCTTCAGTTTGGAAAACACTGGTGTATACATTGTATACATTTCTGTAAAGGAGTGTATACTCTGTCTTCAGAGAAATACAAGTTTAGGTGTTAACATTAGTGCCATTTGTTTTGTAGTTTTTTATCTAAATCAGGAAAATAGACTTCTTGTAAACACTTATGAAGTTATTGAGTAATATTCAACAAAAGTATAGTGTGAGAATAACAGCTTTATTTGTATATATCAGCAAGCCAAAATTGGATTATATTTTCTTAATTTTTCAAAGTTACGGTAATTTTAACTCTTAGAAATAAAAGTATTACCTCAAGGTATTCTTCACTTACCTCAGCTTAGTCGAGTAAAAATAGCTGAACTTTAACAACTGAATCTTCATTAAAGTTTTTAATGTGGTCCAAAAAGAGGTAACTATTTTACACATTTTACCAAATTAGCAAAGTAACCATTTTTCCAATTTCTTTTTAATTCTTTCCTGTTTGAGTTTTACAAGAAGATTTTTGTAGCTCACGATTGTTGCCAGATTCTGCTCTGTCAAACCAACAAAGCAAAACCTGACAGTTTATATTAGAATCCCTTTTTAGCTTTAGTTTTCACATTTTCAGAGGCAAATAAATAGTGTTCAGAAATCTTAACTTGGAAGAAATTCCTTTTAAAGCTTTTTTTTTTATTTGAACAAAAGAAGAATAAGGAAGCTTGAGTATATTTTTTTAAGTCTTGTATCCACGTCCATAACAAAGGGGGGTGATGATTATAATTATGTCTTAAAATGTATAAAGGACTTATATTAATATTGGTAATTGTTTTATGTTACATATTCAGACTTTTAGTTTTAGGGCTTCAACATTATGTGTTTACTTGTGTGGCTCCTTTGTGATATTAAATAAAAGTATTTTAAGTGACTTTTAATCAGAATGAACTTCTTTAATGAGGGTTATTTCTATATATATATACACATATGTATTCCCTATAAATATAAATCTATACACTAGTGTTATTCAGATGTTAAACATTAATTATCTCCAAAAAAAGTAGTTGTTTTATACTTGGGTTTTTGTAAAATATGTTAAACTGTAATAAGCTTTCATTGAGTAATAACTCATTATCAGTCTTTTTCTTCACTTCTGTTGCTGCTTCTAGCTCCTGTTGGGTTGTCACATGACATGAGTGGTAAGTGAAGCAGTGTGTCACTTGCTATACTAACACAGGAGTAACCACTGCTGTTTATCTTCTGGAAGATAAAATATTCTCATCTGTTTACTAAAGTAAGAAATATAAGTCACATGTAGGAAAACTTGAATATAAAAAATAAGCTTTTTATCCCTGTGTCTATATGAGAATACCTTTCACATATAAATGGTTAATACTTTCCTCAATTCCAAAGACATAATTATCAGTAGCTTGTTTATTTTGTCTTGCAATATCAACTTGTTTCTCATTTCTTTATTTCTCTTAAGATGTATTTTATTTTCCATATGCATTTATTTTTTTATGCCTGCATTCTGCTTTCTTTTGTGTTGGATTTACTTTTTAGGATAAAAGTCTTATTTTTGGTTATTGAAGTTCACTCACTATTTTAATATTAACTAATGAATACTAATTGAAGATTAAGTACAAGTAATGAAATAAGTTTAATTAAGATACGTGAAACTTGCATATTAAGTGTAAAATGTGTACCTGTTTGGAATACTCTAATTTGTTTTTAAAATAGCCTTGTATAATTCGACAATTAAAACTATATGTTCCATGTCTATATTTGTACCATTGTAATTTTAAATATTTTGAGTTGCTGAAAAACCATTACTTGTGGTATGTGAATGTGTGTAAATAGTTTATGAGCATAGGATTTGAATCAAAGTGTTAGTACTTTACACAGAGTAATGTATAATTTGCACAACATTATTGAAGCATAATAAAAACTGCAGGATATTTGTAGAATGGCATGCAAAAGAAAAATAACTTGACATAGAAACTTTGATGCACTAACTGACCACCAGTGTTGTTCGGTAATATAAATCTGCTACACTACTCTGGTTACTGTTGATCAAGGTGCACAACTGAAAACCAGTGTTGTTCAGTAATGTAAAACTGCTACACTACTCTGGTTACTGTTGATCAAGGTGCACTAACTGACCACCAGTGTTGTTTGGTAATGTAAAACTGCTACACTACTCTGGTTACTGTTGATTTCTGTCAAGATGCACTAACTGACCACCAGTGTTGTTCAGTAATGTAAAACTGCTACACTACTCTGGTTACTGTTGATCAAGGTGCACTAATTGACCACCAGTGTTGTTCGGTAATATAAATCTGCTACACTACTCTGGTTACTGTTGATCAAGGTGCACTAACTGACCACCAGTGTTGTTCGGTAATATAAATCTGCTACACTACTCTGGTTACTGTTGATCTCTATCAAGGTGCACTAACTGACCACCAGTGTTGTTCAGTAATGTAAAACTGCTATACTATTCTGGTTACTGTTGATTTCTGTCAAGGTGCTTGCTAGTAAAAGCAATAGCTCTTGTAGCACAGTTACATGTTTTTTTCATACAGTAAAATTAGTTTGGTATGCTCTGTAAGTGTAAACTTTGATATTCTTAACATATCTTTTTGCTGTGAGTACTATGCATGTGTAGGCATTAAGCACTTTTACACCTGAACAACCATCTTATGGTCCAATTATTTATCACAGAGTGTCTCTGTTATACACCTATTTTTCTTTCCACTTATTTTTCATTTTTTGCAATGCTCTGACACTGTTGCACAAATTATGAGTTATTCTGTATAGGACAAGATTATTGGAATAAATATTGTAAAAACCAAAAATATATATACAACAATATTATCAATTAATGTAAAGCTAGCTTATAAGTATGTTATTAATAAAAACCAAAAAGATATAGAGCAATATTATCAACTAATGTAAAGCTACCATATAAGTATGTTATTAATAAAAACCAAAAATATATACAACAATATTATCAATTAATGTAAAGCTACCTTATAAGTATGGTATTAATAAAAACCAAAAATATATACAACAATATTATCAATTAATGTAAAGCTACCTTGTAAGTATGGTATTAATAAAAACCAAAAAGATATACAATAATATTATCAATTAATGTAAAGCTAGCTTATAAGTATGGTATTAATAAAAATCAAAAAGATGTAGAACAATATTATCAACTTATGTAAAGCTACCTTATAAGTATGGTATTAATAAAAAGATATACAACAATATTATCAAGTAATGTAAAGCTAGGTTATAAGTATGGTATTGAAAACTTTATAAAAAAAATTCTATTCCATTTTTTTAAGTTATTGGTGATTCTGCATTCTTAGAATGATGTAAACAAAAAGTAAGTTATGGAATATGTTTGGAAGCTAAGTGGTTGATTCACATATATCAAACAGTCTGATTTTTCAAGCATATATGCTTTTATAATTGGGGTGAGTGAGGACAAGGGGTTAGCATTCCTGGACTGTGAATCCAAGGATTTATAGACTCGCAACCTCTAGCCTCACAAATGGGCACTTCACTTTGGAGCTGATGGTACACAATATGAACAAGAGTTAAATCCAACTATTTAATCAGCTGCATTAGTACTATACAGACATTCTTCTCAATCAGCTTCATAGGTGCTATACATATATTATTTTCAATCAGCTTCATTAGTGCTATACAGATATTATTTTCAATCAGCTTCATTATTGCTATACAGACATTATTTTCAATCAGCTTCATTATTGCTATGCAGACATTATTCTCAGTCAGCTTCATTATTGCTATGCAGGCATTATTCTCAATCAGCTTCATTAGTGCTATACAGATATTATTTTCAATCAGCTTCATTAGTGCTAAACAGACATTATTTTCAGTCAGGTCCATTAGTGTAAATTCACTTTCTTTTATTTCAAACTACCCATTCTTTACCAGGTAACAGATTCACTTTCTTTTAGTTCAAACTAATTCTTTACCAGGTAACTTTTCTCCCATTGTACTTTAAGACCTTCAGTGTTTGAACTTAGAAAGGAAACTGTAATTGAACTTTTTCAATGTTCAAGTTGTGAACCTTGATGCTTGCAAACCTGTGGCTCACTTTTATCTTCCTTTGGAGGATGGATGAGTTGGCTTTATTTTGGAGATGGTTATGACTTTTTTATACCTCCCACTTCTCTAGTAATTTGTTTTCTTTGTTAGACCCTGCACATATCACATTGTTTGTACATTCTTTGCATCAGTCATTAGGCTTTCTTTTTTCTCAAGATTATTGATTGCTAGTTTAACATCCTGTATTTTCACTTTATCTCCCAGGATTTGCCATGTTAGTAAACTTTGGATGAACAATCTTATAATTTCTTTCTTTATTTAGCATTTAGTATGATTTCTCCTTGTATATGCTCTGGACAGTTGTCATGATTGTGCTTGGCTTCAACCTGAGACCCTTACCAAACAGCCTTCTTGTTTTATAGTGCTCCTCAATTGTCATTATTGTGCTTGGCTTGAACCTGAAACCCTCACCAAACAGCCTACTTGTTTTATAGTGCTCCTCAATTGTCATGATTGTGCTTGGCTTGAACCTGAAACCCTCACCAAACAGCCTTCTTATTTTATAATGTTCCTCGATTGCCATGATTGTGCTTGGATTGAACCTGAAACCATCACCAAACAGCCTTCTTATTTTATAATGTTCCTCGATTGCCATGATTGTGCTTGGATTGAACCTGAAACCCTCACCAAACAGCCTTTTTATTTTATAATGTTCCTCGATTGCCATGATTGTGCTTGGATTGAACCTGAAACCCTCACCAAACAGCCTTCTTATTTTATAATGTTCCTCGATTGTCATGATTGTGCTTGGCTTGAACCTGAAACCCTCACCAAACAGCCTTTTTGTTTTAGAGTGCTCCTCAATTGCCATGATTGTGCTTAAATTGAACCTGAAACCCTCACCAAACATCCTTCTTGTTTTATAGTGCTCCTTGATTGTCATGATTGTGCTTGGCTTCAACCTGAAACCCTCAC